AGTAATAACGTTAAAAATCAAATAATTATTTCGTTTGTCTGTACACTTAAATAAATAACAAAAGAATTTCTTTTTGTGTTTTGATTTATGCTTTTTGTACTTCTCCTCTGGTACTTTCACGAACATAAACATCAATTCGTATAGGGAGAAACCCTTTTCATCGTTTCTGAATGAACTTTAACGCAGAAATTTAACCTTCACCTTCAGGAGGAAGCTTGAGAGCTAAAAGCATTTTCCACCTCACCTTACGGCTAGTTTCGCTCGAAGCAAGCATTTTGAAGCAAAACTCTGAGTGCAGAAGTTGTTCAGAATCAAATTTCTGGAGTCCCTAACGAGAGCTTTTTTTAAAATTTTCTGTTTTTTGATTTTTAAATTGAAAAATACTAAATTTTAAAATTTTAAAAACGTAAAACTTATTTTAAAAGTCGAAAACAGTGTTAAAGAAAGCTCTCGTTAGGGGCTCCAAAATTCGATTCTGAACAACTTTTGCACTCAGAGTATTACTTCAAAATGCTTGGTTCGGACGAAACTAGCCGCAAGATTAGGTAAAACAATCTTCGGTGAGCCAAAAACCAGCGATATTTTCAAGTTTTTAATTTTATCTTCAAGCATTCCCGGTTAGTAGAGGACACTTCGAAGTGTATGTTCTGAAGTTTTTTCGGGTTACTAAACTTATTTCGCTGAGAAAAAAATTAATTGCTTAAAACAATATTGTTAAATTTTCGGCTTACCGGACTTACCGAGCGACCAAAAACAAATTCTAAAATTTTTAAGCTAGTGAATATTGTAGCCCGTGAAATTTTCTGTTAGGTGAGGTATTCCTTGAATTTTTTGTTCCGTTGCTATTTTACAAATAAGACTTTATGCTAGTAGAGTAGGCTAAATTAACGTTAATTAGTACTAATTAGTTAGTAGCAGGAAGGAAAGAACAAAAATTCTTGCATATTTTTTCGTAATAAATATTCTCCACACGCTTCTCTATCTATCTAGGCACGCACCAAGCTTTTGTGATATAGATAATGGGCAGGAATTTTTTTAATAATAATACCCTTGTTCAAAAATTTAACAATATTTTTTTAAATTATTAATTTTTTTCTCAATCAAATAATGTCAGTAAGCCGAAAAAACTTCGGGACATATACTTTGAAGTGTCCTCTACAAACTGGGGCCATTAGAGAAAAATCAAAATGGGGACTCCCCCCCTTAACACCGCTAGTATTCTCAAACCTAAGGTATTAGCGTTTATTCAACTGAAGACCCGGCCTCCATGAGCTGTCTGTTTTTGGATTTTTTCCAAAGCTTTCTCCAGTTGTAATTAGGTATGGGACGAATCGCGCGCTCGAGGCGAGAAACCATATGCGCGAGCGCATTTCAGCGAGTGAAACCGACGAATCGTGCTCGTCGCTCGTGCACTGCAATATATTTGTATAGAAATATATTTTTTTCGTATTCTGTACTTGTTGCTACTTGTATAAGAAATAGTAAAACTGGAAGTATGTTGCATATCCCGAGCCGGTTTGCTTTTTACCCATAACAAAATTCGAGCCCAAAACAAATCATAAAAATGAATCGACCATCTTGTAAAGAATTTCATGGTCTGTCGAAGTATATAGAAACTGAGATGCGACCTGACTTAAAAGTACACAATAACATTAAAATGTTGTGAATCTGTATCCCATTAAGTATGTGACCATATAAACAGTAATAAAGTTTGGTCTCCCATGTTTTAATAAATAGCAGTGAAGATATGATTTGGATGTCTTTCAATTCAGTTTCTCACGTCTATCTAATGGTCGAGTGAATCTTATCTACTATTTTAGTCAAGAGAAATAATTAAATTACTAGTTGGATGCGGTAGCAATATGATGGTAGTGGTGTGTGCCATTTATTAGACACACAGATCATTAGACGTAGACGAAAAACATTTATCATTTCGTGAGTAATCCAGCATTTATTTTTGGCCTCAAGCACTGCTTTATTTTTAAACAAAATATGAAAAACAAAAAATCTGACGCCTGAACGACATGTAGTAATTATCTCGATTAATCAGCTTCGTTCTACTACTCATCAGCATTCTCAACATTGGTACCAATAATCAATGAACGTTGATATGAATTTAAATCTTTCATTGAAAATTTAGGTATATCTGGAGCTTCACCTGAAAGACAAATTTTAGATATACTCCATTTTCAGTAACATTCTGTCTAAAAACTAACCTGTAATGTTTAAGTCCTGACTCCAGTGAGTGGTCGTAGTATTATTCATTACAGCTTCTTCTCTCAAGCTTCTAAATTCATCTAGTGTCTTGTAATTTTCACCTTCACTGACAAATACTGTCGGACTCATTGAAACATATGCCACAGCTCTCAACAGATCACATTTTTTGGTCATATCGGATGCTAGTTTAATTGCTGGTGTATTGCAGTGGATAACACGACTATCCCATACGACTAAATCACCCGCTTTGCATTTGACTAATTTGAATTTTGTCAGCTCAGAAGATTCTGGCTGCCTCAAAATTTGATGAGTTGGAGGAATTTTAACAAAATCATAGCCGCTATGGGTTGGTGTTATCAAATTTATCAGTTCTGAGAAACGTTGTTGTGACTTTGGATAGACTACTAGACCACCAGTAGATTCATCATTATCGGTAATGGCTACTAAACCCTGAACACAGCATTGATCCGGCTTTCGAACGGGATGCTTTAAGAGAAAATCATTTAACAAAGACTATATCATGAGAAAAGTTGATTCCTTACTTGATCAACATGAATCCATCCTCCCGTTGTTTTCCAAGACTGATTAAAAGACCAATCACGAAAGCAACCTGCACCATCGAATGATACGAGCAGTTCATCTGTTTGCCAGATATTTGAAAAGACTTTTTTGATATTTCTATTATTACGAACATTCCACAAAAATTTGGATTGTCCAATTCCGTGCTGGCTTATAACACCGGTCAAAGGTCGGGCGGGCCTGAGATAAAAGTGAGTTTAGTAAGATTCTCCTCAACAAAAAATTAAAAACTCACCAATGATTATCCCATGTATTATGTTTATCTCTATCAATCTGATTATGAGCTGCCTGTTCAATAAAATCCCAGAATAAATCTTTATTTGTTTTCACTTCTTCTTCAGTCAACACATCACTAAACACAGCATATCCATTCTCCTTGAGATATTCGAGACCTTCCTGAAGTGATGTGACAGAATTCACAGAGAATCGAGGTGACGATGATGAATAATCAATTTCATAACCATTTTTATCTTTCTCCTGTTGAATTGTCGTTGCATCAGTGTCAGTAAAGGGTAAAGTTTGCATCTAAAATAGCATTTACCAGTCTTATACATTTTATTTTCTTCCGTTGTTTTTTTCTTACATACCGCGAGTATTCGTTTGTTGTACTTTATTTGCTTGTTGTTGAGCTTTTTCGATTCTGTTCGATAGCGAAAAGAAGCGAGCTTCCATATTTTATATCACAGAACTATGTATGCAATTATAGAACGTAAAATAATTTCACAATTGCCAATACCGTCATATTAGTGACGCGAATTATTTGTCTTGACGGAGTAAAGAACGCAAAAGAATGTTAACTTTCGAAACAATCTAGTGACGTCTGCTTTTTGTCATTAATCAAGATTTTTTCCAGTCAATATTTCTTATTTTCTCTCGTATCCAAGCTGTTCACATAACAGACAGTATGGCGACATATCCCGATCGGGTGTACTTCCTAGTCGGGATATAGGAGGTGTCCTCTTACTGACAGAGTATATCTTTGATTAACAGCTGCTACATCCTTTTTTTCTCATTAGAGCAGACACTTTAGAGACTGACACGTATCAAAGAGTGTGACGCAAATCCAGCTGAATTTCGGTTCAGCTTTCTGAATCTCGGTTAGCCAGACCTATTTCATTCCCAGAACTAAACCATTTCATCGACTTATTCCCTTGGCTTTAGTCTAGGGTCTTACAAAATGGTTGTCTGTGTGTGTGTGTGTGTGCGCAAAATACGGAAAAATGGCTGTCAGATATTCTATGGATAAGCGAATCACAAGAGAGAAAAGTATAAAATTATTTTTTACACAAGAGGGAAAATATTCAAGCGGTGACAGAAAAACAATTACTAATCCAGAACGAAAGGAAAACTAAGCAAATGTTTCTATAGTTGGGAGGTAAATGTCGCCATAGATCAGTCCATTGGGATAACACAAAAAAAGTCATATACGGATAATAAAACTTACAGAATATAGATAGTCTATCATGGCGAATTGATCAGAAATAATTGGAGCACACCCTCGGACATTCAGTGGGTGTTCAGAAAAGTTCTTAGCTGGGTATGTCCATTCAGGTCACTTTATACAGAAATAACAGCCGCGAAATTTGAACATTTGTCTCGTATAGAGCATAGAGAGTTACATGGAATTGCTCATTTGTTCATTAAAAAAGTTATATTCCACATGCCCGTTTAGGGATATCAAGTTTTGACCTCTCTGAGAACGAAGCAGAGAGAGTTTTGCTCTATTTATATTAGATTATGAACCTTACACATGACAACAAATTAAATCCAGATGTCTTACGTGGGTTTCCAGCGAGCGCCGACCGAAGGGAGGCGTGAGCATTGTTTTGAATTCAGAATTATGTTTAGACCTCTAGAGATTCTTGATTTATATATTAATATCAGACTACGAACCTTATACATAAAAAATGAACAAAAATCCAGAAGAAGCCTTAGTTAGGTCCCCAGCGAGCGCCGACCGAAGGGAGGCGTGACCATTGTGTTCGATTTAAAAGTCACCAAAGGGCGTTCACGTGCGCAGATCCAACTTAATAAATAAAGTCAAGGGACCGAGCGAGTGGAGGCGAGCGTTACCTTGTATTTTAATACGACAAGTGTAAACAAAAACAGCAGCTATAATTATCTATGAATTGAATATCCAATCTCTTGTCTATTACTCACTTACAAGATAACGTTATTTCTTTATCTTTTGATATATACATGTGTTCGTTTCAATGAGACAAAAGAGAACCGAAAAAGGAATGTTGTCTTTTTTCTCTCTCTATATGTGTTGTCTACGTTCACATGAGAAGAGAATAAATACGATACACTAAGTGCTCGTTCTATAATCCGCGTGCCTTAAATGATAGCAGTAAACGATTGACCTTGAGTGATCCGTAAATAGAAATGAGAATAGAGCCGTATCAAATAAGGCATATCCACTTCTTCTATCCATCTCGCACATGCTGCGCATTTGGCCTTCCTGTTGTTCGTCTGAAGAGTCCCATGAGATAATTTTCTTAACCGAACGAAAGTTTCAATGCCTTCGAAGAAAAATGTACAAAGTAACGAGCTGTAACGCGCTGAAAAAAAGATATTTACCCGTTCCAACGTATTCGAGAAACAAGAATAAAACCAACGCATTGGACCCGCTTCTTTTTTAAAATTTCATTTAACACCCCTTTCAGCTCGTTCAAAGGCAAAGGCGTTCGAACGCTTTACATATATTTGAACGTAGAAGACGTTCGAACGTGTACTATATCAATTTTTGGTATATTCATGCGTTCTAGAGCGTTTGATAAAATTTATGAATCTAGCGGATTTGATACGCTTTAATGCATGTGTTATATTTATCTTAGAATTTATTGTATAAGTAGAACAAAATACAGACAGAAGAAAGGACATCAAAACACATAATGTTATGTACATTCATTAAATGTCGGGTATCGAAATAAAACAAAAGATTGTGATTTTTCATTGAAATAAGCGGCTAATTTTTCCACTACATCACTGGTACAAACAAGTACTAAATCTGTTCGATTGAATTTTCCAATAAAGATTTAAATAAGTATGACTGACAAAATAAGGGAAGATGAAATAGGAGAATATGAAATAAGAGAATATCAGATAGAGATATATACGACCGCTGATGGACGATGATGATGATGAAGAAAGTGAGAAAAATATGAAAAAATAACATCAGATAAAGAATAAAAGGAAGAACCTAAATAAGTACCGTGTGCAACGGTGTCATTGTCTTTTTCATTCGAGTGATCTATTCACGCGCTCTAACGCGTTAAAGTACACAATGAACGCATTAAAAGTAGTTTATATCAAAGATTTTATACCTAACGAGATCTAACGCTTCTAAAGGACAAAAGATTCTGATATATACACAGATAAACACGTTCGGTCTGAAAAAAAAACAACCACTGCATTCAAGAGTTTTATTATCAATTACCTTTACAGAATGTGTTTTGAGTGTTTCTGGTACAGATTTAGCTACTTTAAATATATTTTCTAGTTTTATTTTTGAATTATCAATATCGTTTTTCGCAACTTCAATTATAATTATCTTCTTTGTTTTCTGTTGCGCTAACTTAACAAAATCTTCCGCTGATTTACAATTATCACCTGCCAATACTGCTGACCAAACGAGCCTCTTAACAGTTCCACCGAGACCATCAACAACACCTTTTCCATGACTTGTAGCAAAGAAATTCCAACTTAAAGCTATTTTATATTCATGAGCAATCTGAATTAAATTACGAAACATAAAACGTTGCTTAAATTGTGAGGCTGCGCCATCAGAAAAGAAATTAATGTGTTTTAAATTCGGTACATGTGTTTTAAGTTCATTTAAAATAATTTCAATAGCTGAGTTTACAACAAATATATCGTGAGAGACGTCATTCGATGGAAGCGTAAATGAAAAACCTTGACTTTTAGACCATACATAAGCTTTAAATATAGACAGAGTTTTTGTATTCCAATGAGCACTTTGAATTTCGTCTTGCTCTTTCAATACACCCATATTTACGTTACGACCACCACCATTCCCAGAAATGAATGATCTTTATTTAACTCTGAAAAATAATGGTTATATGGAATAATGGCAATATAGCACACTGTTTTTCTCATCGCATTAACTTAATAATTCTTTCAAACCATTGGACTTCTAAGTTTAAATCCGTTAGAAATTCGAATGTACAAGCTCAGACAAGAAGATATTTTCGTTGAAAAAATAGATCACTTCTCTCATTAGATGGCTGATCTATATACTGATGTATTACGATAACAATCTAATGAACAACATTCTATTAGTTTTTAGAGGTACTACTGTCCATTTCAAAATAGAACGCGAGTGATTGCGAGCTGAATAACTCGAGAACGCAGACAGCTATCGAGGTTTTCACATATGGTTATGTTCCCTACTGTTGACTACATGATAGCGAAAACCCAACCTCGACGGCTGTCTGCGTTCTCGAGTTATTCAGCTCGCAATCACTCGCCTTCTATTTTGAGATGGACAGTACATGTAGTTAATAAAATATGAGCAAAAGAACTGTATTTATTCATCTAAAACTGCCTTATGTGATGTCAGATCTAAAACCTATTGGCAAATGTTCATCTTATAGACATACATTTTTTTTATGTTTATCATATGTCATACAAAAGCTGTATGTACGACGATGAGAAAATGTGATTAAAACTGGAAAAACATTTTCGATTCAATTTGATGACGATCATTTCTTCTTCTCTCAGGCACGGGAAGAAACATTAGGAGTTTAATTCAATAATAAAAACAGGATGTAGAATTGTCATAAAAAAGAGAAAAAAGGTCAAGCGTATTTGTATTATTAAATTTAACTAGAACAGAAAGAAAGAAAAAGATTTTATTTGAGATCGCTGTCATGAGACAGTCACAACTCGTCATTGTTTAAAATGACTCAAATACGCTAAAAAAATTCTCACATTCAAACGAAAATATTTTATCGACTATCATTCGCTCAGATCATCCGTATAATCATTCAACAAATGTTGAGGATATGATATCCAAGACGAAAACGAACAATAGCCAAATGTATGAATCCCAAAATACCAAGTATTGTTGAAATGTTTCAGAGTATGTCAATTGTTCAAAAATATTCGTACTGTACACATATTGTCATATAATAGCGATTTTGGTGTTTATGAATTTGACGATTGATAGCACTAAATGCAATCATCGCCAACTGATCCTGTAAACGATACAATGAGATCATAGAGCCGTAAAAGACAGCACTATAACCGAATATTTATTTATTATTCTAGTATTTTTAACAAGATCAGAGTCACTAAATATATTGCATAGAGAATAGTAGAATTCTAAAGCCTTTTTGAATTTTTTCGTCGGTAGCAAACAGAGAAAGCACATACGAGAAGTTATGTTACATATAGGCGACTAGTAAAAAAATTCAGTGGTTAAAATGATAAATCATGCCTTCTTGTTAAAATAGAGAAACGAAAAAATATGAACTAATGAAGATAGATACAGTAGCTAGTCAGAGTTATGTTTATTCTAGCATTTAAAAATTCTTCTTATTCGTAGTGGATATGTTTTTGCTTAACATTAGTGAAAACCTAGTGGTTATAAGAATCGTAATATTCCTGAGGTTTTGAAAAGTATTTTGTCTTATTTTATACTGTTAGAAATTTTAAAATGAAAATTTACTGGCTCGAAATTTCATACTGATTTCTAGAGGAATATCTTGCTGGAATTTAGTCCTTAGTTTTCGTGCGGTATGCGAGATTCCTTGCTAAGGTAATGTTGTGTATTTTGGCTGTTTTGGCTATATACTCATACACTTTATGTTTTTTCCGTCTATACTGTTCTGGTATTCAAATCTATACTCATTCTCACGTGGAGATTTGTGTGATGAATTGATATTGGTGAATCGAAATAATAATGATATTCTAAAACGTTATACATTCTTACAGATTCCATTAAAGAGAGAAATCAATCGATAGAAAAAGCCGCAGCAGAAGAATGAAGTTTTGAGTCGAAGTATAGAGTCATTTTTTCCCAATACTTTTCAATAGCACATATATAGATTTATTCTAACAAAGAAATAATAGATAAGCGAGAAGAGCAAAAGTTTGTTTATAAGACTGACGTTGTTGGTTTTTCAATTGCGTTGAACAAGTTCATAGTAGATTGAACTGAGTCAGCGTTCGATGGGGAAATGTATTCGATGTTGATCTGTCACTCTAATGGATTATGTAAACGCCAAAGATGATTACGCAGAAAGTCGAGAAATGGATGATCAAACGGATCAGTCATTTTATAACTGATCATTGATCTTGTAAATGGATCAAGTTTTGATAATTGCATGACACAGCGATCAACTTCAATCCCAAAGGATGAATTATAAACTGCATAATGAGCGATGTAAATCGTATCTTCTTCATTTTGCTTGCAACACAATAACGATACTTCAGTGACACAACGTTCGACGCCACTCGGATAGAGAGAAGGCCAATTATTCATATTCAAATCAATGAATTTGATTGCATCAAGAAAATCACGTAACATGATCGATGTTACACCTAAAATAATTGAATGCCTTTCAGCTCGATTCTAGTTACCTTTTCAGAATAAAACTATTACCTAATTCTGTGCCATTTCGTGTAGGTTTAACCCTTAAATTGGCCATCATCGAGAGCAATCTGGCTTCAATGGTCTTGTTATTATTCGTATCGAGACCACCAGCAAATATAACATGTTCGAAGATTACGCTGGTTTCCGTGTTAATTATTTCTGATATCCTCTATCATTTTTTTGGTTGTTTTGGTAATATTAGGTGGAGCGAGTAGATAAACAGATGAAATATGTTTTAAATATATTTTTGTTTCATGTTTTGTAAGATAAAACACACTAACTGCAATACAGGACGCTACACCTGTTGTTGCAATTGTGTTTTGACCAGTTCCAAACTCGTCCAAGTCAAGATTTTAAATTATATATCATTTTCGGATTTACAGATCGTGTATTTTTAAATGACAGGTAGAGTGGCAAAAAGATGTGTTACGAATAAGTAATAGTAAAATTTTATCGCATATATATATATGTATATTTCTCTGTTTGCTACCGACGAAAAAATTCGAAAAGGCTTTAGAATTCTACTATTCTCTATGCATGCATACTGACGCATGGTTTATGACTCAGTATCCTCGTCTTCTCGACCGAAGTCAAAATAAAAATAATTTAACAGCAGCAACGAGCAGTATATTTCAGTCACATTTCGAATTCGCGGGTAGTTTGTGATGCCATTGTACCGTCGTTTTGCAATACGTAAAAAGTTCATAAGTTAAGTTTCTTTCAGTTATACTTTGAGACGATTCTGTAGCTGGAACATTCAGCTTTCGGAATATATACCGTGATATAGCTTTTTTCTTGATCTATATGAAACTTTCACTCAATGTGTCGTTACGCACAAATCGTCATTTCTCTCTCCCACTCACTAAAGTATCCTGAATTCAGTGAGTTTTTTACTTACGAGGGAACCTCCCAAGGTATCCATCTCGGATTTTTTTCATTCATATGCCAATCGATAGGTCACATAGAGATATGAAAAAGCCTCAAAGGATATCGGCGCAATTTGCTTCCTTCTAGAGTTATTCAAGTTTTTCTTTTCTTTCCAGC